TTCTTTTCGATGCTTTTTTTTATAAAAATATGTTCTTATTATATTAAAGAAAACAAAACTTATAATACTAACTTCTTCAGATCACAAAATGTTTACTGCAAGAAGTAATATTATTTGCATAATGGAAAAAAAAGTTATACTGCTACAACATCTACTAAAAACATTATTTTACTAAAATTGTTATATAAATAATAACAAGAATTGTGTTCAAGCAAAGAAAACAATTTTCTATCCTTTCAACTTATTTACAATGATATTCAGCAACATATACAAAGAAATTTAACTGAAATAAATACTCATATTAAGAAAATATGCATAACTCATCCTATTAAATATATAGATTATAATAAAATTTAGAAAAATTCAGATTCATGGCTAAACAAAGTAACTTGAGTCAAAATTCTTGTTGTGCATATTCTGGAAAAAAATTTAAAAGCCTAACGTATCACACTAGTTTTCACTATCTGGTATTAAATAGTATAGATATATAAATATTGCTGAAAAAATACAACTTCCAAGTGCTGAAATACCATTATACATCAAATACCATAATACTTATTCAGTTTGTGTTTTATTTTAGTGAGGAAACTAAAGAGTGCTGAAATTAAAATTTACAGTTTGAAATTGTGTTGATCTTTTTGAAATTGCGCACAGCCTATAGTTATTTAAGTTAAACGATGTCCATTGTTGCGTTATTTTCTATTGAGTTATTTTTCGATAAATAGGATAATCTGGTTGAAGTACAACATTGTCAAACAATAGCACAAAGTATTTTCCATGCAACAAAAAATATTAATTGTGCATTTGGAAACTGGTAAAATATAAGACATAACAACCAATGCATGAATACAAGTTATTAAAAATAAAATAATTTATCTATAGCTCAATTACCAGTGCCTTTACAATCTAAATACACAATAGTAAATATGGACTAATAATATCAAATAAAATATTGCTATTGGATAAAAGGTATTTTCATTATAAGAGATTATTTTTGAATAATGTATTAGGTTTTAATAACTTTGTTGAAAAAGATTTACTTTTCACTTTTAATAATAATTGATTATTAAATTTTGAGAAAACTTTTACTTCTATAGACTCTAATGTTATTTTTCTAGTACCTTTCTGCATTACCTTTTTCTAGTCTTTTTTTAATGTTTTATTTTTTTACAATTAAAAAAATAAAAAACTAATTTATTTTGTCATTATTTTGTCTATTATATTAAGATAAGATATTTAGAAATTAATCTTTAAGAAACCTTTGAGATGATAGGAAATAGTAAGAGTTTCTTGAAGATTTGGGTTGTTAGCAATATCTAGTTTTATTGTATATCAATTTTATTTATATTTATCGGAAGATTTTGGTTTGGGAATAATTAAAGAATTAACTAATAATAATTAATATCAGATTAAATTATTCTGTTTTAGTTCAATTTTTCATTTTTTGCAAAAACTTTTATGAATAACATACTGTATTACTTATATAGATTATTAATGTTACCTATATTTGAACTCCAAACATCAAAAAATTAATCCGTACGACCAATTTATGAAAGTTAAGAAGATTGAATTAAAACAAAGTATTATTCGATAATACTTTATTAAGTCTTATCTCCTTTTTTTATGTACCAACGTTATTGTAACATAAATATAAAATATAAAACCACTTTTTATTGTTAATATCTTTGTATTAATAGTTAATTCAACAAAAAACACCCAAATTTTGACTACCAAAGTCATTTACTAAATCTAAAATAAAGAAAAACCTTTTATAATTAAATAAACAAAGCCGCCATTTTGATCATTTATCCCTTATGAAAATGTCATACATTAAAACCGCACCCTGTGAAAGTGCCTAATTGAATGCAACATTTTTTGCTTCATTATGTTAGTCAATAAAGTCTTTTTTCAATGGCTCTTAACTTTTTTCAACCTGTTTTTTGTGGTACCTGTACCTTTTATCTCGTTCTGTTTAATTCGTACGTATTCTACATTTAGAGAACTTTATTTTGTAAAATATCCATGCAAAACATTACATTTTTCAAATACTAATAGTAAACATTGAACTCCATTAATGAAGCAAATGATTGTAGAGGCAATTCCAACAACTGTTCTTTTCACATAAACTCTTTTGATTGCGCGAGTCAAAACCATCTCGTTTAGCTATTCATTGACATTTTGAGTTTGGCCAAGTAAATGTTTTTTGAGCAACTCATTACTGCCAAGAACTTTTTCTCAATATTTTCTCCTTTGTATGGATTTGCACCACAAACTTTCATACAAGACTTGGTATTGAGTACTTAAATCTACTCAACGGTTTACTTTATATAGTTTGAACACTAAGAAATAACTACTATGTGAGTTTCAATAATATATTAAATTGTAAGAAGAGTTGTAAGTTAATAAGGTTAATATAAAACTAGCATAAGAGAGCATGGCTTAAGACGCAATGCACTGCGGGAAATAGTTATAATCAATAGATTATTCGCAGGAAGTCAAATAGGCTTCAACATTCCCGACCACCATTTACAAGTAAAGGAATATTCTTCTCGTTAATAACGGCAACAGTTACTATTTTTTTATTGTCTGAATATTCAGTAGGATATAGTTTATTAATAGGTCGAGTAATTAAACACGAACTACCATTCTCTTGTTTGTAACAAACTTTAGCAACGTGAACAACTCCGTTGTTTGAATAAAACAATTCTTGAATATAACAATGTCATTAACACGAATACCATTACATTCATTACTCCGTTTCGATTTATGATATTCACGCAACTCTGTCAAGTACTCACTTTTGAGTCTACTTCTAAAAAGATTCAATGTATAAGACAACATACTGTTTCGTATATGCACATCTTGTTCTAAATTGTTACAAGCACTAAGACTTGATTCAAGCTTAAGCTTATATCCAAAAACTAATTGATTAGGTGTGAGTGCTTCATCACCTTGATTGTTATACAAATAAGTTAATGGTCTGTTATTTAGTACCATTTCAATTTCAGAAAGCAACGTTCGTATTTCTTCATAAGAAGACTTCGAATTCTTTAAGGCTTTTTTCAAACATCTTTTAGTCATTCGTACTAGTCGCTCAAACATCCCTCCCCACCACGGTGCCGAAGGTGCATTAAACTTCCATTTTATAGAATGATTTGCAGCAAAGTATAGAGTTTCAGTTGAAACAAATTGTGAACCATTGTATGAATAAATAATTTCTGGAACACCCTGTCTTCCAATAAATCTACGGATACCCATAATGCATGATCTAGATGAACAGTCAGCTACTATGTCTAATAAAATCGAACGACTACTGCAACATGTAAATAAGAAAATCCATGCTTTATTCAACGTACAATCGCCATAAATATCTTTAATATACAGCGGACCAGCATAATCTAAGGCAATACATTTAAAAGCGAAATCAGAATTTAAACGACTTTCAGGCAAAGGAGGAGAAGGTGGGTAAGAATAAGGCCTACCCTCTATACGTTGACAAGTTGTACATTCTCGTATCACGATCTTTGCTAATTGCCTACAACAAGGTATTCAATACTGGGATCTTAAAGCATTAATTGTTTCTTTCACACCATTGTGCTTGACAAGCTTATGAAAATGTAAAATTAATAATTTAGCAAAATAACAGTTATTGAAAATAAAAATAGGAAATTTTGTATCGTATTCTAAATCAGCATGTTCAATTCTGCCACGACATCGATATATACCATCGCTAACAAATAAATGTAAATCTTTTTGTAATTGTTTCAATTTATTCTCATCGATTAGATTTATCTGTAAAAATTTAATCCACAATCGCTTTGCATTATCTATTTCTTCAGCTGTAATGAAACCAGTCTTGAAGATGTTCTTCTTTTTATCTTTCACATTATTGATAATCCGAAGAATCCACGATGTTAATCGAAGTAATTACCTAAAATCACTAAATTTATCAACATTAATAAAGTCAAGATTAACATTAACCTTAACAGGTACCACATTACACAAAACTTCAAGTGTTTCATTTGAATGATTAACATTTTCATAATTTCATAATATTGGGTCCATAAAACCAAAATTCATTATTATTTAATTTCTTAAGCGAAGATCCTCGTGATATTATATTTGCAGGATTCCTAAAGGATTCAATATAGTTCCAATTACAAATTAAAGTCAATTCTCCTTACTTATTTAAACGATTTTGTACAAACTGTTCATAGGTAATATTAGTATTACAAAATCCAATGCAAACAAATTGTTGAATCAGTCCAATATACTTTATTTGAAATGTTATATATAGATATCAATTGATTGTTAATAGATGCTAATAGCTTTGCTAAAAGTAAAGTTGCAGAAAGCTCTAATCGAGGCATTGTGTTCTTGCCTAATGGGGCAACTTTAGACTTCGAGGCTATTAAAGAGGCACGACTAAAATTAGCATTAAAAAATCTAAGATAAACACAACATCCAAACAACTTAACACTTGCATCAGAAAAACCATGTAATTCAAATTTTACATTATTTATATCACCCAACCCAGGACTCATATACCATCAAGGTACTGCTATTTGAAAAACAGATTTGAAATCACTTAAAATAAGATTCCAAGTAAACAATAAATCACCATACAAATTTTCATTCCAACCTAACTTAAAAACGCAAATCCTTTGAAATAAATTTTTACAAGTTACAACTACTGGATTAATAAGACCTATTGGGTCATAAATACTGGCAATAAAACTCATCGCTTCTCTCTAATCAAACTCATCTTCTCTCTTTTTTGGAACTATTGAGGCTACATTTAATAAATCCTCAAATGAATAAATTATTGAATCTTCTGTCTTCTTCCACTTGAGGCCTAAAACTCTTGTATTCGTTTGTCTCTCATAATTGTCACCGTTAATTTGTTTCTCAAAAGCTGAAGAATTACACTCAAACTTTCTTAAGTTAAAACCTCCTTCTTTCAATATATCTTTACATTTATTAAAAAATTAAATACCTTCTTAAATGGTAACACAACTAGAAATCAAATCGTCTATATGCAAGGATTGCAACAACTTTGAGGAAATATTATTATCATTAAGGCAATATCTCTCAGCATGATATATTAATGTGGCATTGAGGAGAAATGGAGATGAAGTAACACCAAAAGGCACTCTACATATACGATAAGTAGCCAATGCAGATGAAAACAAATTACTATTATTAATATTATAAATATCATCAAACCATATTAGACGCAAATAATTTCTATCATTTTTATCAAGGGCAATCTGCAAAAATGCTTTCTCTATGTCTGCAATAAAAGCATATTTATTAGCACGAAAACGTAATATTATATAAAATAGAGTTGTAGCTAAACTTGGTCTAGCATTTATACAATCATTTAATGATGGACCTGATAGAGTGGAGCTTGCGTCAAAAACAATTCTCACTTTTGTTGTAGTTTTATCTTTACGACATACTGGGCAATGTGGCAAGTAATGCACCTCACCAATACTCAAATAATAATTATTTACCTTCTCTATTACCCCTGATTTTAATTGCTCTATAATTATCTTATTGTATGCAATTAATAGCTCAGAATCATTTTTTAATTTATTAAGAATTACATTCAGACGTTTTATACATAAACTATAGTAATCGCTCAATAATGCATGGTTATTTTTAAATGGTAATTTAACTGTATATCTACACTCTTTATTATCAAAATAAATATTACTTTTAAGATGATCAAAAATATTATCTTACACTCCTGAATTTTCTAATTCCCAAAACTTTTTAATATTGTCATTAAATTGGGGAATTTCATTAATGAATTCCGTCTCAACTTTTAAAGTATGTGTGGAAAAGACACAGCAATCTTTTCCAGATGATGCATTTACATTTCCGCTTAATATATAACCAACTGATGATTGTAAAGTAACAGGACCTGTATTGGCGCGAATTACCTTGCCATTAAAAAATGACCAATAATAATCCGCTCCAATAAGTACATCTACCTCTAATGATTTGCAACCTACATTAATATCAGCTAAACTGATTCCTTTTAAATGTTCAAAGGAATCGACAGACTCCTCTATATACTGACCAGTAAGAGGAGCACATATGGGCTTAACAAAACAAGTTATAGGTATTAAAGAATTCTTCAAAGTCAGTATAGAAAGTTTAACCATCTCTAAGGTCTGGGTGTGGCTCTGATTGCCAAAAGTTTTAATATTTAATTGCTTTCTACCTAATGTAGGCAGAAAGAGCTTCTTTCGTAATGATGGGGAAATATAACTTAGCTGAAAACAACTGTCAAATAAAAGGCGACATCTTAGTTTCTTATCTTTATTTTTTACTGTAACCATAGCAGTTTGTAACAATACATTCTTAGATTTCAATGCTTCTGTAGTAGCAACAGACGTTAACTTATTGTTTGATTCTTTACTATCATCAGTATGCAAAAGAAACTTTTTAAAACACATAGAAACATGATGCTTCCCTGAGCACTCATAACAGCTTATTCTGGAACGACAATCTTTAGACATTTGACCTGATTTCAGGCAATTAAAGCAACGCCTTTTATCTCTTAAAATACTTCTCCTTGAACTTATATTTATTACAGTTTTACAACTTTCACTTTTATGACTTTTACTACAAAAAATGCATTTTAATTCATATTGTGGCTTAAAGGAAGCACTAGAATGTAATACTTCTGCTGTTGAAGGATCAAAATTACACTTTCTACCTGAGTGAGCTTTTTCCCTAGCTTGCAATTCAGCTTTTAAAGATTTTAAAACATATTTTATATCCCAATAATCACAGGAATCGAAGTTTCTAGCAATAATCAAATTTAACTCCTCTGGAATTTTTTGCATTATAATAGGAATCAATAAAGGTCCATACATAGTTGAATCTATACCTAAGTTTTCTAAACTTCTAATTTGAGCTTCGATATTGTCATGAATACGTCTTAATAAATAAATGTTGTTAATACTTTGCACTCTCTCTAGAGATAGAAGTGACTTCATATGTGTCGAAATTAACAGTTGTTTATCATTAAATATTTCCTTAAGTAATTCCAATGATGTATGATAGTTGTCATTTGTTAATGCTAAGCCTGAAATTGTTTTTAAAGCTTTTCCGTCAAGTAAATTTCTTAGATAGTTAAGTTTTTGTATTGGGGAAAGATCGTTATTATTATGGATGGCACATTCAAAATTTTCATAAAATGTCTGCCATTCCTCTGGCTTTCCACTAAATGTACTTAATTTTAAAGGTGGAAGTTTAATGTTATTATTTGAAAAACTTTTTAAACTGCAAGATTGCGACTCGTTAATACTTTTATAAATATTATTGTTAAATTTTTCAATTATTTTTATATTCTTTTTGAAAAATAAAGAAAACTCATTAGCTAAATTTTCATCGTTTAACAAGTCCTCATCATCTTCAATTAAATTGATCAAATCATCATCAATTGCTTTAACTTTATTGTATTTTTTGATCAAAACTTCTTTAAAACTAGGTAGTTCCTCAAAAGAGTTACTATCCTGGCTAAAATTAGTCATACACTCATTGGCCCTTTCAAATATATTTTTAATAGCAGTGACTGTTATGGTACGAACACGTCGTTTTCCAGCAATACTCGACATTATATAAAAACCCTATAAATGTCAACAACAAATAATGCTTACTTAAAAAAAAAACTATGGTCAATTCTGACACAAACACAAATAAATTACAAATATATATAATTTTTTAATGCTAATAAAAGCACGTGCATTAAACAACCCCCACAAAAAAGGATTGACCCAAAAAACAAGTACAATATCAATTAGTACTTAACTTCAACTTTATCTTCTCACAAACTTTAATCTTTGTTCGAACTTGAGAATCAGCAACGAAGCTTAATGACAGCTGGTAACTTTCAGAACAGCAACAACTTTAAAGACAGCTGATAACTTCAGGATCAACAGCAACTTAAACGATAGCTGATAACTTCAGGATCAACAGCAACTTAAACGATAGCTGATAACTTTAGGATCAGCAATAAACTTGAACGATAGCTGATAACTTTAGGATCAGCAACAAATATCTCCGTGGGCTCCAAATATTGAGTACTTAAATCTACTCAACGGTTTACTTTATATAATTTGAACACTAAGAAATAACTACTATGTGAGTTTCAATAATATACTAAATAGTAAGAAGAGTTGTAAGTTAATAAGGTTAATATACAACTAGCATAAGAGAGCATGGCTTAAGACACAATGCACTGCGGGAAATAGTTATAATCAATAGATTATTCGCCGGAAGCCAAATAGGCTTCAACTCTTGGTATCTCCATCAGCAATGTATTTTATGTACTTGATTTTAAGCTCTTTGACATATCATTTAAATATTTGTAGAGCGCCTAAAGATTTCATATTTTCTGAGCTACCCCTTTAAATAATGTGTAATCTTCCAGTTCTTGTTAGCTTTAGTACCTATCTCCTCGAGCGTATCTTGCAATGGTAACAAGCATTAATACAATATCCATGAGACATTGATGAGACATGAACCATCTAAACTAACAGGAACATTGAGAATTGATGATTCATCATAATTTTCAACAACTTTTTAATTACTTACGTTTTCTGAGGCTTTGTTTGTACTCACTCAACAGGTTTCAAAGTGAGCAAAAGGAAGTTTATTATTAATGCTATGGTAACCACGTTTAGTTATACCAAAAAGCATATTCATTAAACAAAAAAAATTATTAATTACTATCTATCCTTGCCCAATTTCTCGAACAGCTAACACAGTACATAGAATTGTCGCTATAATTATTTACCTTTGATTGCTTCACTTTTATTTTCTGATAATTTTGAAGTTAAAAAATTTATTCCACGTAATATCTTGAAAAGAAGCGTAAGTAAGATCCTCTTTTTTATCAAGGGGTAAAACCCCTCAAAAAATTATTTTTCTTTTGTATAGCATTAATAAAGTAATAACATGTTCCAAAAGTACACTTAATTTTAGAAAATCTATCATAAAAATTAACACTCCGTTGCCATGGCAACACGAAAACTAAGCAAAACTGTCAAAATAGTCTCTTCACCCTCGCAAAGATTAATTCAATTAGAATGATACTTTCAGCTGACTTTTTTCCAACTTATAGTAAAAAGGTAGATCTATCCAATAAACAGAAAGTTTTTGAAAATACTTTTTCTGTCAGGTGTAGGCCTGTTTAAATTTGAAAAACATTTTAAGCTTAAAAATAATAAACGTGTTTTTTAGTTTCTATAATTTAAAAAAAAATTTTAAAAAGTTGTCTGTTCATTACATACATCTTTATGAGAGGAATACTCCCTGAAAATTTTATCTAAAATGGTCAAGCGGTTTTCAGGATACTTCTACCAGGAGATTAAAAACACGCGTTCTGAGAAAAATGCTAAATAAGTTGAAATTATGATGACAAAAATTTTAAAATAACAAAAAAACAAAAAATTTAGTATAAAAAGAGCATATTAATAGTGTTTTTTAATTATGAACACCAGGCCCATACATATTTCCTTCTTTTTGTTCAAATTTGTCACATTTTTTATGCTTGCGCCTTCTTAAAATCTTCCTTTGTTTTTTGATGGTGTCTTGATTTTTATACTCCAACATCCTAACTCGTATTGTATTAAGTATTTCAAATATAAGGATACTAGACTTTATTCCTATATTAAAAGCACCAATAGCATTATAGAATCCAAATTTCAATTGCGTAAACGAAACATACTTTGACTATAACAATTAGGTATTTTGGACCATAGCATTCCATTAAAACTTTCATTTTCATTCTGTGTTTTTAAATGAAGCAAACGGTTTAAGTATGCATCTGATGTTAGTTCTACATAAATGGTTTTAACTTAAGAACAATTTTAATAGGAAGACCTAGTCTCAATTTATATTAATTGGCTCCATTAGCTTTATCTTGATTAAAATTACACCAACTATTTTTACCTGTGGGACAATGCGGGTAATGTCAATTATTTTTGCTTGATGATGCTACATGAAATAAGCTTGTTAAGCTTGAAGATCTAGTACCTTCAAGGTTACCATAATTTTGTTTAATGCATATTCTAAAATAATTTTGAAATCGAGCAATTGTAACATTTATTAAATCGCCTTTACCATTTAAGTCTTTGACTTGTTTTTTCAATTGTTTACAACGAGATCCAATGCGCTTTTGAAAATGTGAGATACAAGCCAGTTTAATTATTTCAATACCCTTGTAAGTGTTTTTGACAGTAGTGTAGCTTTTGCTATCACCATCACCCAAGTATTCTGTGTACCGTAAATTAAATTTCTGCAAAGAGCGATTAAATATCTTTATTGCCCCATCTATTTCCATTCCACTGGCTGATCTTTCATAGTTTTAATTGCAAATGTGTGGTTTTTTTCCTGCTGCTGTTTGCTGCTGCTTTGAATAAACAACATCTTGATTTTTGTCACATGTTTTACATTTTCTATATCATGCTTCAACATCTAAAACCTTCCCATTTTTAATTGATAATGCTGCGGTCACCTCGTTGTGTGAACTGCATCCCCTTTTTTGCCATGTTCCATCAACAGAAAGTTTATTATCTATAATCTTTGCCTTCTGTTTGATTTGCCTTCTCTGAGCTCTTGTGCAGCTTCATTCATTGTTTCAATAGCAACAGTTTGTGCTGCAGTTGTCAATTTTTGAACAATAACATAATAACTTACATTGCATAACCTTTTTGGGATATTCATAAAATAGGTAAACCGATGTAAACCAGCTTGGCCTTGACCAAGTGTTTTAATGGCGCACATTAATCTTTTATTAATATCAAACCCTGCTACATTTTTTAATGCATAAAAGTTTAACTTACAACCACAAGCACAATTTAAAGATAAATTTGATGCATATCCCATGCAAAACTTTTTATTTTTGTTTAATGACAACTGTGATGGTTGGAAATATTCTGGACACCAAAGTTTATCAAAAATGAAAGCAAGAATTTCTAAATTATTAAACCTGTAGCCACTTACACATTTTGAGTTTTTTTCTAGGAACCATTACTTGCTTCACTTTTTTTTTCGATGCACTTTCAATTACACTTTCACTTTCAAAATTTACTGAATCTACCATATTTACGTCATTACTATTTACATTATTTACACTAATATTTACAGGGTTTGCTTGATTTCTTAAACCAGAAAATGTACATTTACGTTTTCGGAGACGTTTTGTAGGGTAATTTAACTCTATCAGTATTATACTTATTATTAGACTTGTGCGTTTTCTTTAAGTAAAGCTTGAGATAGTTGCGTAGAAGCTTGAAAAGCTGACTAATTTTAGCACAATGTGTCAAATATGTGGTTTTAAAACAGGGCTTTAGGGTTAGCGAAAAGCGTGTTAAACTAAACTGCAAAAAAACCCGGAAAAAAGCTATAGGAGAGAGTGTGTATGAAAGAGCCAGTTTTAAAAAGGTATGAAAAAAAGTCAATTTTGGTTAATTTAAAAAAAAAAAATTCGTTATTTAAATAGTTAAGTTATTGGGTAAAATTATAAAATTGAAACAAATTGGATAACAATGCTAATAATCAGCCATACACCTATTTAAAAAAAAGAGAAAAATCAGCTCTTTCACAACATCTTGTCAATGAAAGAGCCACTTTGTGCTATGAATGAGTCGTAACGTTTTTTCTAAAACTAACATTTCTTTTAAGAGTAATAATTTGTTAACTAGACTTCTAAAAATGATATTGAACTTTAAGTTATATAATTCTATGATAATCAATGATAAAACAAAGATGAAAAATATTAAATGAGAATGAAAAAAACAAAAGTATTAAAATACACTAGTCAAACGTTTATAAAAAAAATTATATACACTAGTCAAAAGAACAAATTGTTTTGACTACATCTTGACGATAAATGTTATCTATGAATCATAGTGATTATTAGACACTTCACATATATTAACTATCCTAGTAATATATGAGTAAATAAATTATTAAAAAAAAGGTTTTGACAAAATGTGTGGAAGTTTGAAACAAAAATATTTAATTATTAAAAAAATGAATTCTTTCTGCTTTAGAAAAAACTTTATTATTATTTGAATACATTTTTTAAGATTCCAACGCGCCTACGTTTTACGACTTCAGGATAAGTCATTCAAATAATTAATTTCAAAAGAATATGATCAATGAAGCATTAAAAAAACAATGAAGTCGTTAATGCGAAAAACAGTAATTTAATTTTAAAAAAATAATAATAAGCCTAAAAGTGACATTTTCAAAAAAATGTATGGTAAAAAAAATCATCTAAAATAATATATTTTTTACATAAACTTTAATCGAATATTATTTGTGGAAAAGAAGGACACCTATATATATATATATATATATATGTATATATATATATATATATATATATATATATATATATATATATATATATATATATATATATATATATATATATATATATATATATATATATATATATATATATATATATATATATATATATATATATATATATATATATATATATATATATATATATATATATATATATATATATATATATATATATATATATATATAGGTGTCCTTCTTTTCCACAAATAATATTTGATTAAAGTTTATGTAA